AGTCTTTTCCACACCACCATGTTGAGTTCTGTGTGTCAGGGCTGTACAGACCTCATCCCCTGAAGTGCTGTTGGCATCATACCCACAGGCGGCTCGATACGGCGCAGGGTACAGATCTGCCCAACCCTCATCTGTACAACTCCTGGATACATTGCCTAGAAGGGAAAAGAAGAAGAGGATTAATAAAAAAGACACATGCTTAACATGAGCACTTTCTGACCCATTTCAGCTCCTACATCCTGCAACACATGAAGACAGATCTCCAACACCTTCCTGAATTATGACTTAGTACTCATATCATCACAGCGCCATTAGACCAGGCTTCCTTGGATATGTCTACTAGACCTTCTCAGTACTATGCCACAAGGAGGCATGCCCTGTGCATGCTACCTCTTGAAGCAGTGCGGCTGCCTGAGTGGAGTGCCAGGTTTGTGTGCCATTAAGTTCTTCCTGTTTTTGCCACTATGACAGATGCACTGCATCCACATGAGCGTGGATGTTTGTTTCTGCAGGGACAAGATGCAGCAGCACATCTTGTGCCGCTGCTACTTGTCCTCAGGGAATGCCATACACCATGGCAGGTTACCCAGGTGGGGTTGGGGAAGCTGGGGCAAGCACTGGACTGGCATCAGCAGCCTTATCTGGGGTGCTGAGGGCCTCCCAGGACTGCAGTTGTGGTGATCCTGCTGCTTGGAGCCTGGCCTGAAGCTGGAGTGTGGCTCTGCCTGGCCTGGCTCCAGTTTTGGGAGGCACATGCTGCCCATGCTTGCGCCGCCCCATTTTTTGTTTTTTGCACAGGCGTTTTTTGGGTTTTTTGCTACCTTGCAGCATGGAGAACACATGAACGTGCAGCGTGTGGTGCTGCAGACGTGCCTGTGATGCCACATAGTGCACGGCCGTGCTCATCAGGACATGGCCACGCAGGGTGGTGGCACATGCAGAGCTGGGGTGAGGCACCGCACTGTGGTGTTCCCTGGCCCAGTGTAGACATGCTCATTGTGAGGGACACTGTCTACACACCATCTGAAATGGCAACATGTGCAGGATTGCTGAGGACTGAACATAGATAGCCCATAAGGAAGTCAGGCCTTTACCTACAAGACAAGCCCTTCTGTTTTACTGGTCTGACATGCAACTAAAATCAATAGGAATCTTGCTTGAATGAGGACAAAGTGCCTCCAACTGTGGATATCGTGGAAAAACATTCATATGGCTTGAATGCTTCAATACATTTTATTTTAGTAGAATAAATATTCTTGGACAGGGATAACGTAGTCATTGACTTAGATGATTTTTGAAGCTAGAGAAACAGGTTCAGGTAACATAACAACTTCCCTTTCCAAGTTACACTCAAACCTCGAAGATTCAAAACACCCACTTAGGTCACCCCTGACTTTAATGTCCCAGCTTGGATGGGAAGCAGAAATGCTTAGTCTTTCTCAAGAAAAGATGCTCCCAGGATACGCCTACTGTATTTGCATTCCCTGCTTCTGTGCACTACATGCAGCGATACCCATATACCAAGCTCAGACTTTTAGAGCAAAGCGATTTATTTATTTTGAATGATCTTCTGGATTTGGGGGAGTTTAACAGAACTATGCCTGTTCTTCAACCGTGGGTCTTGGCTTACAAAGCACACAGTGTCCTCATCTGCAATTAGGACTTCAGGGCTGGTCATTACATCCCACAAGGTGCTCACTACCTACATCTCTAATGAAAAGAGCTGTGCAAATTATTTGTTGCCAATAACATGAGTTGCAAACTTGGGATTCCCGCCCCCACCCCCGTCTGCCGGCGTATTCACTTCCTATTGCTCATAAGTTTGTAGTTATAATCTGTATTACAGTAGCCCTTAGAAACCCCTTCAAGAAGACCTGTTTTGCTAGGTGCCGTACAGACACAGAATAAAAGACAGGCCTCACCTAGAGGAGCTCCCAGTCTACTTAGCGAGGCACACAAATAGATATAGATGACAACACATACTCATTTGTACAAATGAGTCCTCCCTCGCCCCCACCATCCACTTTCATCGTGAACTCTGGCCCTGCCCTTCCCGTGGAACAATTTCAGTTGATGGTTTGCAAACCGGCTGCGTCCACTGCTCTCAGATCTCTCTGTGCGACTGATCACTTCAATCCCTTATAACTGCCCGCAGCGTCTAACTGGACAAACGGTGTAATCTATCATGTTGAACAAACACCAGATAGCTACCGAGGCATTTATGATTCCCCAGATAAAGAACTAAATCTGTGAAGCTACGGGGATTTGTAAATGTTGCCACGGACACCCCGAGACTGATGAGATTTGTCACCGGCAGCAAAGTAACACATTCTTCTGAATAAGAACAAACTGATTACGTGGCAATGAGGGAATGCTCAGCCATCCTTTTTTTGGTATTTTCTACATCTTTGCTATTGCGAACTATTTGATCTTTGATCTGGTCCTAAACAAAAGGACAAGCTGTCCCTCATGGGAAGTCTGCGGGGGTCTATTTGTTGCCTTAACAGGAATTGAACTGCGTTCAAGAGTGCAAAGGCCAGTCACCTTTAGAAAAAATGACATTTCCTTATACTTTTTCATGCCTGAAGATCTGACTGCAACTGAAACCCTGGTGCCTTAGCACGGCTGAGTGGCTGCCTGCTCACTGCAGCTGCTTTTCTTGCCCCACCATCTGAGTCTCTGTTGCTGTAGGTCAAGCCTATTTGCAGGTTTATTATTCCTATTTCTTTTTACAAGGGTTCAAACTGCATGCACACATTGTTTCATTAGATAAAAGCACCCATGAATGGTGCAGCTACTGTAAAATCAGCTGAGATCATTTACAGCTCTAAGTTATGTGCAAATTTTAGTGCTTCCTGATATCAGTCGATCCTATCATCTGACCTACTTTGGCTTGTGTTTCCTGTGAAAGGCTCGCTCCTCCACTTGGGGCAGATTTTGGCTGCTTGATTCCTGGCTTGTTATCTTAGCTGGATCAATTAACGCATTTTTTTTTTCAGTCTTAAGTTTCCTTGGTTCCTTTCCCAGTGCGCCTAAGTTTCGAATTTGCCTCCTAGCCAGCACTTCCCACCCAAGGATCTTAGATCACTTTAACACGGAGATGTTATTTCTTCTACAGCAGACTATAATATCAGAGAAAAGCTGGACTCAGGAGGGCACATCTAACCCAGCCCTGTGCTCCAGGAAGGATCCTCCCTTTCTAAATAATCCTATACAAGTGCACGTCTAACCTATTCTTAAAAGTCCAGGAACAACCCTCATGCACAAATATAACAATCCTCATGCATCAATGCTGTTGCTGAAGCCGAGGCAGAGGACTAGGAAGTGATAACACCCAGCACAATCCAAGCAGAGATGAGATCTCTAGTTGCCATTATGATGGAATTAATATATTGGGAGTTATTGCATAAACTAAAAATACAGAATGAGTCAAATAGGAAATGCATCACCTGCATTCAGCTCTTTTTCTTCTTGCACAATGACCTCGCAGCACACTGCAGTGGCCTGCAAGCCCACTCTGGGTTCAATTTTCCTTTAGCTTTCCTTGTCTGCAAGCAGGCAGGAAATGAAAATGCAGCAGTTTTACTCCAGGGGAGTTTCTAAAAGGCAGCTCTTAGAAGCAGGAGGGAGGTGAAGTTGTAAAAAAGGTTTATTTTTATCATTTTGTTCCAGCTCTGCGAGCAGGGATGATTGATTTTGTTGTGATGAGTAGTGAAAAGAATAAAGTAGTCTTAAAACAAAAAAAGATGCGGTGAGGAGTTGACTCTAGAAGTGAAGCCTCTGGGTTACGCATCCATCCCTGGGAGCTGGGTATTGAAGCCCAAGGCAAAACAATTCTCTCTTGCTTTTATGGGACTTCACTTTCTGAGAAGGTCTCTCTGCTTCTTTTTGTCTTTCACACATTTCTGGAATTTTTAAAGACAAACCGGGGGCATGATCTTGCACGATCTCCCATAGGCTGAAACTGCATTTTCCCCAATGAGAGCTCACGGCATGCAGGAAATGAAAAGATACATGAGACCTAGCTCTTTCCCTACTTTTATACCTTTCTGGTTTTCTTGCTCATCATCAGGACAGCCAAAGAGCTTTCAAAATGAAAAACCAGAGCACAAATGGGAGACAGCAGATCAATCCTGGCTCCAATGAATTATGCCTATGAAGCATATATGGATATGAGAGGTCTGTATATGAATGATGTATATGAGGTGGAATAGGTCCAACAAGAGACTGAGAGAGCCCTACTTTAGGGTGAGGGAAGTGGTGGAGAAGAGTGACTTTCATGACCCTGGTTCTGCCAAAAATTAAATTTTTTGTTGGGGAAGGAAAACCTTCATCATTTTGAAGCTGTAGTACAAATAACATGTTGATGTCACTGGTACTGAGATGAGAGAGAGTTAATTACATAAGTATCTGTATTATATAATAATAATTATCTTTTATAACAGTTGCTTACGGTGACACATTTGCAAGTAGCATCGCTAGCTGTTGACTATACGTTTCTTGAAAGCAGCCCAACGTAGCCCTCACTTGGACTTGCGGTTTCTTGCTTCATGCTGCTCAACTGACTCAATCATCGATCCTCTGGATCATGGTGTATGCAGAAGAGATCTATGACCATCACACCATGACCTTTGTTGCATACGTCTAGGCAAGAGCATGGAGGAGTGAAGGCTGCCCAAGACCAACCATCCCTTCCTCTTTAGACCATTGAGACAGAATCTAGCAGCCACACGAAGTCCAGATGTTCAGTACCTCGATGTTTGCTGCTTCTGCTAGACAGCAACAGATAAGAACTGCTGCTGATTGCCTAATACCCCAGTGAGTATGTGCTTCTGTCAGGGTGATGTTCCTTAGCCTTCCTCCAACCCATGAGTGCCACTAGGCACCCAAGCTGTACTCTGGAGGTTGCAACTTGCAGTATTTTATAGGAGCTACCCTGCCACGAGCAGGCCCACCTGTTCAGGTGCAATTAGTGGTCTTACCCAGGAAAACCAACTTATATCCTTGTTTAATCGCTTGCATAATCACTTATCTATTCATCTCGTTTCTTAATGCAACTTGCCTATCGTTGACTTGCATCAGGTAACACGTAGTCCTTTGGGCTCCCTGACTCAGCAGTGTTGGCCCTCGGGACTATGGGTTCACTGCTAGCATTACAGAGAAGCTATGCCCTTAAGTGTGACCTAAATTGTAACACATAAGCTAAAATGGCAAAAAAGAAAGAAAGCCATTTTTTAAAATGAGGCATTCAGGCCCTTATCCTCAAACATAGCTCTAGAGGCCTAACTCCTACTGAAACCAGTGGAGGATCTGGACTCAAACACTCCGATGATGAAGGAAGCTGGCTCCTGGTAAAATGGTTGAAATCTCGAAGCACAGCAGAAAAAGACAGGATTGTCAACAGCAGCGCAACCTCCCCATTGCTGATTTCTAATGTGATTTATCACTCTGGGCTGGATCCTGCCCCAGCCACATCAATAGGACCTATAAGATGACCACAGCTGGAATCGGATGAAGAGTGACAGTATCTACATAACATGCCTCATCTATTCTGTAGTTGAAGAATTTGGGCCGCTGTAGCTCTTCTGACCTACACGCTAGCATTCAATGCAATGACATTTTAAAATAAATATTAGCAAAAACGTGTTCACCCGTCAGCTAGAATAAACAAATATCCCCTCACAAACTATTAAACTATGTCTGTTCTGATTCGAATCTCTCCAGATCTAACATAGCTTCTAAAGAATTGGGGTCACATTTAGCTTCTCCTGAACAATTAAAAAAAGACTGTTCTGAGCTGAATCGTTCTTGAGATATAACATGACTTCTAAAGAATTTATTAGCACTGTTTTTTCTGCTGTCAGTAAGAAAACTGGGTAAGGCCATTTGACTGGTGGAATTGAATT